GGGGACTGAGTGGGTTTGGCGTGGGGTTTCAATCACGGACCCTCTCACATGACAGTCTTGTGGGGCTAAGTGGGGTGCAGGATGGGGGGAGGAGTGAGAGGAATGGGCTGAACGGACGAGGCGAGAGGAGTGGGTTGGATGGACGAGGCGAGAGGAGTGGGTTGGATGGACGAAGCGAGAGGAGTGGTTCGGATTCGAAGTGGAGGGCTGGTAGAAAGGCTGTAGTGGAAAGGGGGGAAGGGGAGGATGGGGAGGTGGAGGCGAGGAGGGGACCCCATGCTCAACATAGTCACATTCATTATTATGACCCTAGGCACCATCACCAGCAGCAGCAGCAGCAGCAGCAGCACCCGCAGCAGCAGCCTGAGCACGAGTACCAGTCTAGGCAGCAGCAGCATGGGCCACAGCAGAGACATGTGGAGCGGCGTGACGTGCTGGCTGCCTTAGCGAGTGATGATAAACTGCTCACAGGGCCAGTGAAAGGAAACGTCAGTGCTGGTGGTAACACCACTGGTGGTAGCACCACTGGTGGTAGCAGCAGCTGGGGGATGGTAGAGCTTGGTTCCGCCAGCAGCGACAACAGCAGCAGCACAGGACAGAGCAGTATGAATGGCAAGGGCACGAGCAGCAGTAACGCCATTTCGAACAGCAGCAGCACTGAGCCGAGCAACAGTGCAGCACAAGGCCTGTCACAGACCCTCCCACCGTCACACGCCGCAGCAGCAGTTGCCACAGGTGATGGAAAGACACTCCCCCCAAGTGAGCTGCAAAAGCCGCATGAAAGAGAGAGCAGCAGCAGAGAGACGGCTGGCAATGACACCAGGGAAGGCATCCCCATCAGCAACGCACCACCAAAGCCCAAAGAGCCGTACGAGCGGCTAGGGTCCATCAAGGTGTGGGGCGGCTGGGAGCATCTAGGGGCGGCAGTGACAGAGGAGGAGAGCGACAGAGAGAGTCCTATCATGTGGGACCTGGCTTACTTCCCCCTCGGCTTCACCAAGACGTTTGGGCTTGGGCTAGGCGGGAGGAAGCCAGGGGCGGGTAGGACGGGCGGTGGTGGGGGAGGGAGTGGTGGTGGTGGTGATGGTGGTGTGGGGAAGTCGTCGTCGGTTAATGCGCTCGACTCGTTTCCGTTCTCACTCATTTCCCCTAGAGGGCCCAAGCCTGCTGCTGCCTTACCTGATGCTCCTGCTTCTCCTCCTGCGCCTGCTGCCACTCCTGCCGCTCCTGCTTCGGCTGGCAGTAACACTCCAGCTGCTGTGGTAGAGTCACCAGCAGCAGCAACAGCAGCTGCGGAGCATGAAAGGCGGTTTCTCTCACGTCCCAACACGCCTCCCCATCCCAGCACCAACAGGCAACACTCCGGCAACAGGGCTGTCCCTGGTTCGGCCTCTAACACTGGCCCCACTGCCCCTAACCCTAATGCCCGTTATGCCCCTACTGCCCCTACAGCCCCTACTGCCTCTACTGCCCCTACTGCCCCTAATGTCACTGGTCACAGCCTGACTGTCACGACTGCCAGTGGCTTGTCTAGCAGAGGGGCCCCTGGTGGTCGGTCAGAGGGAGGGGAGGGCACGAGTGGGGGGTTGAGAGGGGCCGGGAGGACGAGGAGTGGGTTGGGGTTGGAAGAGGGGGAGGCTGTGGAGGATAGTGATTGGTGGTGCCAGGATAAGTGGACGCTGGGGAAGAGGGGAGGCAGAGGTGGTGCTGCCACCGCCGCTGCTGGTGGTGCTGCTGCTGGCGCTTCTGCTGGCACTGCTGCTGCTGGTGCTGGTGGGTCGAGCACGATTGGTGGTGCTGCTAGGCAAGGAGAGGGAGTAGGGCATGGGGAGCAGAGGCAGAGAGGGGAGATGGGTGAGGGGTTAGCGGTAGGTGTGGGGGAGACAGGAGCAGCGGGAGTGGGTGAGCTATCGCAAGATAAGGGTGGCGCTAACACATCAGTTGAGATGGTAGGGGCTGCTCCTGGCGCTGCTGCCGTAGCAGTTTCTGCTGAAATGGGTCAGGAGCAACAGCAGCAGGACCACAAGCATCACCGAATTCTTTGGCAGCAGGATTGTCAGCAGAAGCACCAGCAGCACTTGAAGCAGGAATGCCCGTGACAGTAGGTGCAGCTGCTGGAACAGACGCACATCAGCAGCAGCAGCAGCAGTCAGTGGGGAGAGGAGCACAGGGGGCGCAGTATGACGTGGTGAAGGGGCCGGCGCTGCACATCCGCACAGGCAGCCAGGACCTCTGGCGGCCCGGGGATGACCTCCATGCCCCCCCTGCTGCCCCTGCTTCTGCCACTCCCTCTGCTTCTGCTACAGCACCAGCTGCTGCTGCTGCCGACGCTACTGCTGCTGATGCTCCCGCTGCTGCCACAGCTGCTGCTAGCGCTGGAGGAACAGGGGGAGGAGCAGGAGGGGGAAGCAGTGGGCTTGTACGATCTGGGTCGTTTGGTGTGGTTGGGTCCAGTGTGGATGATCGAATCGGAGCTATGGTGGTTGCTACTCCCACTGCCTCTGGTTCTGCCACTCCCAGACCCCGGTCTATACAGGAAGATACAGATGCAGGGGAGGAGACGGTGGAAGGAGTGGCGTCTGGATTCGGCGTATCTCCGTACCTGCAGTCGTCGTACGGCTCGTCGTCCTCCGAGTGTCCAGATGCGGTGAATCTGGAGGCGAATAGCAAGCTGTGGGAGACGCCGCCTCCGGATTTGTCTGCGCTTGGGGGAGGTGGGATCCAGGGCAGGGGCAGGCCGGTTGCATATGAGGATGAGGAGGACGAGGAGGGAAGCTGGTGGAATGAGAGAGGAGGAGAGGATGGAGAAGGAGAAGGGGAAGGAGATGGTTGGGATGCGGGCAGTAGCACCGGTCAGTATGGTGGTAGCACATCCTCCGTGTATGGGAGTGGGGAGGGATGGCAGGGGGATGGACAAATGGGGGTAATCAGCGGAGGAGCAGGAGGAGGCGGAGGCGGAGCAACACGAACAGGGGCGAGAGAGGAAGGAGGAGGTCCAGCTGCTGCTGCTGCTGCAGCACCAGCAGGGGCGGGGGCAGTGCTACCAGGCAGTGTGGATGCACGGGAGAGGCTAAGGGAGGTGGTGGAGGGGCATTTCAGCGCGCTAGTGGAGCAGATGCTCAAAGCAGAGGGGCTGCAGGCAGGGGCTGAGGGAGACCCCGAGGGATGGCTTGAGGTGGTTCGGCGCCTGGCGTCCGAAGCTGCATCGCTGGTTCGGCCGGACTCGAGCTCGATGGGGGGGTATATGGACCCTGGCGGGTACATCAAAGTGAAGTGCATTGCTGGAGGCAAGCGCAGTGAGAGGTAAGGGGGCGCCTGGGAGGGGAAGCGTGTGCTGCATGTGCTGTTTTGCCACATGTGCTGTTTTGCCACATGTGCTGTTTTGCCCATGCCCCCTCAATCCCTCTCATCTAGCAGTTGATGCTAGCTTTTCACCCTTTCTTTCCCTTCTCTCCTCTCCGAATCCCTCGCAGCTGTGTGGTGGACGGCGTGGTGTGTCGAAAGAACGTGGCCAACAAGCGCATGGCATTCGGTGCCATGTGAGGGCGATGCCATGCGCTTGTCGGACATTCGGTGGCCGGGCCGCACATCGCCCTCCTCGCCTCCACCCTCGAGTACCAGCGCTGCCCCAACCGCCTCTCCTCTATTGACACGCTGCTCGCCCAGGTGGGTGCAGTTTGACGGCTGAAACAAGTGGATTTTTGAGATGTCTCAAAAATACGCTGCTCGCCCAGGTGGGTGCAGGTTGATGACTGAGGTTGACTGAGGTCACAGAGGTTGACTAAGATTTGACTGCGATTGACTGAGTCTGACTGATGTTGTGTGAGGTCCACATGTTTGTAGAAGATCGAGTGTCAGTTTTGAGACATCTCAAAACTCCTCCTGTGCTTCCTGTTCACTCTTCTATTATTGCTTCCCCCCACCGCTCGCCCATTTTACAGCAAGAGACCCATCTGCGCCACATGCTGCGGAAGACCAAACGCACGTTGCGAGATGCCTTCAGCTCTTCCCTTCTCCCCGTCCTTCCCTTCTTCTCTTATTTCTCCCTCTCTCGTTCGCCCATCCCCCAGCAAGAGACCCATCTGCGCCACATGCTGCGGAAGACCAAACGCACGTTGCGAGATGCCTTCAGCTCTTCCCTTCTCCCCATCCTTCCCTTCTTCTCCTTCGCCCATCCCCCAGCAAGAGACCCATCTGCGCCACATGCTGCAGAAGATCGAGCGCAAGTTCCCCCGCCTGGCCCCCCAACAAGCCCCCTTGCAAGGCCACTTGCAAGGTTACCAACAAGGCTACCCACAAGGTTACCCCCAAGGGCCGCCCAGTAGCCACGGCGCACTCTCTGTTCCAACCACACCCACAGGAGCATCAGTGGGGGCAAGGGGGCGGGGTTTCCGGGGTGAAGGGGAGTTGGGTTCAGGGCTGACGAGGCAGACTGGGGTGCTTGGGAGTGGTGCCTTTGGTGGTGGGGGTGGGGTTGGGGGTCTGCTGTTGGGGGTTTTGGGGGTGGGTATGGTGCTGCTGGGGGTGGTGGTGTGGGTGGGGTTGGGGGTGGGCATAGGAGGACAGGCAGCAGTGCCAGCAGCACCACGGGAAGTATCATCAGCACTGGCAGCAGCAACACTTACAACAGCAACAGCACTTACAGCAGCAACAGCAACAGCACATACAACAGCAACAGCACGTACAACCAAGCGCCAGCTCCAGGCAACTTAACCCGGTACAGCAGCATGGGAAGCACCCACAGCCTCACCAGCTACCCCTCCACCCCTGTCACCACCACCAGCAACACCACAGGCAGCAGCAACGCCCCCTTTTCAATCCCCTCAACCCTGTCAGCAGCCTCCATGCCGCCAGCTAACACGGGCGGGCAGATGGGCGGGCGGGTGGGCGGGCAGGCGGGCGGGCAGGCGGGCGGGCAGGCGGGCGGGCAGGCGGGCGGGCAGGCGGGCGGCAGTGTGTTGCTAGTGGAGGGAACAGTCTCCGGCTTCGCGCAGCAGTGGATGGTGGAGCACCGCATGTCGCTCGTCTTCAACGTCAAGCGCTCCCTCCTAGAGAGAGTGGCGCGCTGCACGGGAGCTAAAGTTGCTCAGTCTGCTGAGACTCTGGATCGGCTGGGGCAGTGCCAGCGGTTCTGGACGCGGAAGTTTGTGGAGGAGTGGGATGCGGTGGGGAGCGGTGGCGGTGGGGTGGGGGCGGAGGGAGGTGTGGCGGGGGGCAGGGGGAGGGGGTCTGGGATGGGTGTGAGTGGAGTTGGTAGTGGTGCTGGTGGCAGTGGCGGTGGCAGTATTGCTGCTGCTGGGGGTGGTCGCAAGAACGTGAAGACGCTGTTGTTTCTTGAGGGCTGCCCGATCCCTCTCGGCTGCACGGTGCGTGAAGATGCTTTCTGGCACGTTCTCTAACTCAAGCTGTTATGCAGTTGCCCTGCATCCGTGCCCTCAAGTCGAGCCATGCGTATAATGCTGCTCTTCTTTCCTGTTTGAGAATATGATTTTTTGCGCCCTGCTGAAGCCAGGCATTCAATATGGTCTTTTGAAAACATCCACGTTGAAATCTTCTCTGTCCCTTGCTCCTTGCATTCTGTCTCCTCTCTGCCTGCTGCTCCGGGGCCCCTCTCTGCCTTCTCTCCCCACCAGGTGCTGCTCATGGGGGCGCCAACAGCGGAGCTGAAGAGGGTGAAGAGGGTGATGCACTTTGCAGTGTTCGCCTCCTACCACCTCGCCCTCGAGACCTCCTTCCTTGCAGACGAAGGCGCCCTGCCCCCCGGCATCGCTCCCTGCCCTCCTCTGTGTGCCGCGTTACCTCCTCCTGCTCCCGCTGCTCCTCACTATTCCGCTGCTGCTGCTGCTGCTGCTGCGCCATTTCCTGCCATTGCTGCTGACCCTCCTCCTCCTGCTGCTGCTGGTGCTGACATGGCTTTATCTGGTGAATCTGCTGCAGTTGATGTTCCAGCCAATGGGGAGGTTGAAGATGGGGAGCGAGATAGACAAGCACAGGCACAGGCCTCTGATGCTCCGGTTGGGTCTCATCCAGCTGGCGCTCCGTCATTGGCCGGTGATGCTCCGGCAGCGCAGCCTCATCTGCTTGCTGACGTCATGGCTGCTGACGTGGCTTCCACAGATAGATTTCCTGCTTGTGTCGATCCTTCAGCAACAGCTGCTGCTGGTGTTATCGCCCCTCCTCCTGCAATAGTCACATCTGTACCCGTTAGTAGTAGCAGCACTGGCAGCAACAGACCGTCGCCTCGCCGAATCGCACAGCTATCAGCATCCCTGTGGGCTAGTGGGGTGCCTGCTGTGAGGGAGAGTGGGGAGGGTGTGAGGGAGGGTGAGGGAGTTGTTGAAAGGCAAGGTCGAGAAGAAGAGGAGGTGGGGACTGGGGAAACAGGAGGAGAAGGAAGATCAGGTGGAGGTGCAGAGGGTGCAGGAAAGGTAGCAGGAGAGACAGCAGGAGAGGTGGCAGGAGGAGCAGCAGGCGTTGGCGATGGCGAGGGAAGGCAGAGGGAAGCAAATGTGGCAGCACAAAGAGGGGCGATGGAGAGCGAGTCTCCCTCAGTAGCTGCAGCTGCAGCACCAGCGCTGCCAAAGTCTCTAGCAGAGGCAGTAACAGCGGAGAAAGCAGAGGCATCAGGTGGTGAGAGGATGGTGCCTGGATCAGCACAAGGGCAGCAGCGACAGGTGGCTGAGGAGCTGAATGTGAAGCAATCCCAGCAGCCTGCAGGGGTGCTTTCTCCTCCTCCTCCACAGCAGCCGCAGCCAGGTGCAGCAGGTGCAGCAGGTGCAGCAGCGGCAGCAGGGAGGGATTGGCATAGCGATTCTGCTGGATGGAACAGATACAGTGGAACCACAGGGGTTGGCTTCTGCTGATGCTTCTGCTGTCGGTGATACTGGTGCTAGTGGTGGTGCTTTCCTCACTACTGCTTCTCCTGCTTCTCCTGCTGCTGCTGCTGCTGCTGCTGCTGCTGCTGCTGCTGCTGCTGCTGCTGCTGCTGCTGCTGCTGCTGCTGCTGCTGCTGCTGCTGCTGCTGCTGCTGCTGCTGCTGCTGCTGCTGCTGCTGCTGCTGCTGCTGCTGCTGCTGCTGCTGCTGCCATTACTGGCGCCACAGAAGCAGTTGCACAGGGAAAAGCAGGACCTGTGGCAGACTCGTCCCCATCCACAACACCAGAAGCAGCGCCTGGAGCACCACCATCAGTAGCAGCAGCACCGCCTGCAGCGACATCACCACCAGCAGCAGCAGCAGAAGGGAAGGACCCCGCCCCGCAGCCCCTCGCCATTCCTCCCTCTCTCCCCCCACAATCCCACCTCGCTCCACTCACCCCACAGCCCCATCTAGCCCACCCACTGGCCCCGGTGTCCCCATCAGAGCACCAGTCGATCCTGGTGTGGGCGTCCAGCCGCTGTGTGTCGCGCAAGCTGCTGTGCGAGCCACCGGAGCTGATGAGAATTAAATATTACGGCGACAGGGACATGCCGCTGGGGCACTTTCTCACTCAGTTCGTGCTGAACCCCCTCTGGGTAAGTGGCTCCCCTTGTTGTGTGGGTGCGGGTGTGGGTGTGTGTGTTGCTGGGTGTGGGCGTCCAGCTGTTGTGTGTCGCAGTCCCACCTGGCCCACCCGCTGGCCCCGGTGTCCCCATCGGAGCACCAGTCGATCCTGGTGTGGGCGTCCAGCCGCTGTGTGTCGCGCAAGCTGCTGTGTGAGCCACCGGAGCTTATGAGAATTAAATATTATGGCGATAGGGACATGCCGCTGGGGCACTTTCTCACCCAGTTCGTGCTCAACCCCCTCTGGGTGAGTGTTGTGCGTGGCTTTGCTTGACTTTTAAAACGTTTAAGTGGGCTCGTTAGGCACATTTAGGGCTCACCTCAGTCTCCATATGCAAGGCCAGTGACGTCCCCTCTTCCTCCGTGTTCCCCTTCGCACACACTCATCCTTCCTCTCGTCAGCTCAGCGCTGCAATGCAAGTCCACCATGCCATCATGAGATAACGTATGTAATCCTGCATTACCCCTTCCCTTGGAGTGCACTTATTGAGCACTTATTGCGCCTCCATGTGCACAAGGAGGGCTCCGTCACCAACTCCTCCATGTCCCCCTTCTCCCCCCACAAGAGCTGTTTCCCCGTCCCCCCTGTTTCCCCGTCCCCCCTGTTTCCCCGTCCCTCTTCCCTTCCGTCCCTCCTTGCTCCTGTCAGCGCTGCAAGTGCGGCATGCCATCACAGGACCATGTGCGTGTGTACTCGCACAACGAAGGCTCCCTCACCATCTCCTCCTTCTCCCCCTGTCCCCCTGTCTCCCCTCCTCCCCTCTACCGTTCCGTTCCCCTTTCCTCCCTCCCAGCGCTGCAAGTGCGGCATGCCATCGCAGGACCACGTGCGTGTCTATTCCCACAAAGAAGGCTCCCTCACCATTTCCGTCCGCAAGGCCGACGACATCCTTCCCCCGACACACCCCCTGCAACTGCCAGGGGGAGGGGGAGCAAGTGGGGGGAGGGGAGCCTATGGGGGAAGCGGAGGGGGGTACGGGGGAGCCGGGGTGAGTGCGGGAACAGGAGAGGGGGACATGGTGTGTGGTCAGGACTCTGCTGCGTCTGCTGCTGGGTCTGCTGGGGCTGGTGTTGGCTCTACCGGGGCTGCTGCTGTGGGCGGTGCGTGTCCACCGCCCGCTGCCGCGCGGTGCATCTCCGCCCCGTGGACGGAGCAGCGCCGGCCACGCGCCGCGTGCTCATGTCCGAGGCTGCCTGCAAGCTGTCGCTGGGAAAGTTTCTGGAGCTCTCCTTCACCAACCATGTGGTGGTGGGGCGATTAGCAGCCTGCGGCCACTCGCTGCACCGCGACTGTCTACGTTTTTACCGGTGGGTGCCAGTGGCTGTGTGCTTGTTTTGCATTTCCATACTTTGTTCGGCTAGGTTGTTGGTGGAATGACAGGGTGGACGGAGTGGCGCCGGCCACGCGCCGCGTGCTCATGTCTGAAGTTGCCTGCAAGCTGTCGCTGGGAAAGTTCCTCGAGCTCTCGTTTACGAACCACGTGGTGGTGGGGCGGCTGGCGGCGTGCGGGCACTCACTACACCGTGACTGCCTGCGCTTCTACCGGTGGGTGCCATGGAAAATGCATGGTGGTATTGGGGATTGCTTCTAGGTAAAGTGGACGGAGTGGCGCCGGGTCTTATTAGCCTATTTTTGAGTCGACTCAAAGATTGGTTGTTTGAGCCCAGTGGACGGAGTGGCGCCGGCCACACGCCGCGTGCTCATGTCCGAGGCCGCCTGCAAGCTGTCGCTGGGAAAGTTCCTGGAGCTTTCGTTCACGAATCACGTGGTGGTGGGGCGACTTGCGGCATGTGGGCATTCGCTGCACCGCGACTGCCTGCGCTTCTACCGGAGATTTCGAGTGGGGTTGAGGAGATTAGAGGTGGTTGCTTTTGAGGAGGATGCAGAGTGCCATGGCGTGGGAAAGGGGCACGGTAGGTGGAGGAGAGTGCAGGTGGCAGGGTGCGGAGTGCGGTGGCAATTAAGATCTGGAAGGGGTTGGGAAGGGGGTGGGGGGAAGACGGAGAGAAGGACAGTTGGGAAGAGACTGATAGATGGAAGTAGGGTTGCTGAGAGTGGGAGTTGGCATGAGGGTTGGGGTGCAGTGGAAGGGAAGGGAAAAAGGGATTCCCTGATTCACTAAAGAGTTTTCACTGGATTGCTGGAGCATCTGCTCCGTCCTTCTGGAATCAATTTCTTGGCACGCACCGTGTGCTGCTCGTGATGTGCTGCTGCCCATGCCCACATGCCGTTTGTCGTCCGAATTTGATGGCATGGTCTTGCCTTACCTCACCCACCCGTTTTCCGTTCCTTCTCGGCCTTGCTCCCTTTCCGTCTCTTTTCTTCTCCGAGTTTCATGTCCTTCTTTCCAATCTCAAATAGCACATATCAACCTCTCCGCCCCATCCACTCCTCTCCACTCCTCTCCAACCCTGCTTACTCTCCTCGACGTCCCTCGCTCATCTCACCCACAGTTGAACGTGAAGTCGTATGCCAACAACAACCAGATGGCCATCATGCCGAACGAGCGAGTGGTGAATCCCTAACAGCGCATCACGCCCTCGTTTCCCACCCTTCCCCTCCCTGCATGCCCTGCTCCCCATCCCTCTCTCTTACCCACCCTGACAGCTGAACGTGAAGTCGTATGCCAACAACAACCAGATGGCCATCATGCCGGACGAGCGAGTGCAGGTGCTCGAGTGGAATCGCCGCTACCTCATAGTGCTTGCAGTGGCCAACAGACGGCTCTACCAGCTGCGCCTGCAGGTGCCCGAGAGGCTCCTAGATGCTGAGAGGCCCGTGCTGCGGCAAGTCATGGACTCTTTCCGGGTATTCAGCGTTGCGGAGTAGATTTGTGCACTTTTTAATAAAGTAGTCAACAAGCATATACCTCCAGACGGCTGTACTAGATCCTTGTTCGTGCTTCAGCATATTTTTGCCCCATGATTTTGATTAGTAATCCCCCCCATTAGATCACAACTAGTTCACATAGAATTTCCTAACACATCAAACACTTGTATGGAATTTTCATTTGTATATGTAGATGTGTTTGTATGGGATTACGCTTTCGACATTTTTTGTGGCAAATGTGCGTCTGCGACTTGGCCTGGCATCACGCCGTGACTATCGGAGGCATGTAAATTGAGGTCGATATCACACTATTTTCGGAGGTGTTTCACCTTCCGGACATTCAATAGTCCACATCCCGTCGGCAGCCCTTCATTGTTGTGCCCACTGGAGGTCTATTCACACTGATGTGTAATAAAGAAATATCGCACATTACCAGCGGTGATCCCTCAATAAAAGCCCAGTTTTCGGAGCACAATCCACCAAGATGCAGTGGCAACAATTCCGCCACACCAAGATGCATCTCACAATTCATCAAACTGGTATTTCTCGGGTAGCAGGAAAAACCAATTGGAACTATCTGAGGGCGCGTTCCTGGCTAGTGTCAAACTTCCGGTCTTCCCGGGATGACACGAAGCTCGCCCCACAGCTCGCCCCACTTTGGGTCTTCCCTAAAAAATTTGCCCCTGGCTCGGAAAACACGAAGTTTGGCCGGAAGTTTGACACGCGCCAGGAACGCACCCTGAATCCCCTCCCTTCGACACGCCGTACCGAGAGTAACCAGTACGATCAATCGTGTGAGAAAATCTCCTGCGTGAGCCTCTCCTCTCTGTTCGACAATAATCTGCGCCGCGAGTTTTCACGAAAGTGCCTGGCTTGGGCTGATTGGGTTCGCGCATTCGCCGGGCCTGGCAAACCCTCACATGGCGAAAAATCACACGCCTGCGAAACTTGCGCAATGCGCAACTGCCGCATTTGATTCCGATACAAAACGTGTTTTCCCGCCAAGATGTATCCCTGTGCGAGACCCCGTCTCCTCGACTGGTAAGATGGCTTTGCGGGAGCGGGCACTTTCACGGCTATAAATAACACGGTCGTCATCTTTCACAAAATTTCTAGCCAGCCACTTTCCCGTTCTGCTTGTTCACGCTAACTATTTTTGCGAGTTGACGGAATCAACTCCTTTGCCGATCATGGCTCGGACAAAGCAAGGTGCTGCCACCACGGCGGCGTTGCCGGTGCTTCTGTTTGTGCTGCTTCTGGCGTCAGCATCGTATGTCGCGGCTGGTAAGCTCCTCATCTACCCGTAATGGTGCATTCCGTTCAGGTTCGGTAATATATGACTGAAGTGTACCTCACCATGTTGACAAAGGATTGTTGTTCTGAATTCGGTTACGTTACGGAACCTACAGAAGTCCACTCGGCCTAATCACTTCCGTTGTTCTGTGCGCAGCGGCATCCAAGGGATTTGTCGCCTCGCGGCGCATTCTGTACACCCGGTCTTCGGACGGGGGGACTACGAACCACCTCGAGAAATCCGCCGTGACCACCCCGACGGCCGTGAAATTGGCGAAAACCGTGTCCCCCACGGACCCAACCGCCGTGAAATTGTCTGCGTCCGTGAAACTGTTGTCCCCGACCAGAACAACCATAACCTCGCCCACAGCGTCCCCGAGCAAGACCTTAATGGCGTCCCCGACCACAACCACGACGGCCGTGAAAGCGGCAGCGCTCCTTGACACTAGCAAGACACTCACCACCACCACGCCCGTGAAATTGTCTGCGTCCGTGAAACTGTTATCCCCGACCAAGACAACCACTAGTACCTCGCCCCTAATATCCCCAACCAAGACCACCACCACCACGACCTTAATGGCGTCCCCGACCCAGACAACCACCAGCACGACGCCCGTGAAATTGGCATCCACGAGCAAGACAACCACGACGCTCCTTGACACTAGCAAGACAACCACCACCACCACGCCCGTGAAAATGTCGACCACCTTGGGAATGGCGGTATTGGTCAGCCCATACAAAATTACGTCGCCCCAGAAGATGGCTGTGACCACGAGCCCACTGGCCTCCCCGAGCAAGACAACCAGCACCACGTCCGTGAAAGCAGCGATCACGTACAAGCCGCAAATCCCATCCTTGCCCACGAAACTGTCGCAGTCGACCGTGACCTCACTGGCCGACACGAGCAAGACAGCCACCGCCACTCCCGTGAAGATGGCAACACTCCTTGACACTAGCAAGACAGTCACCACCACCACGCCCGTGAAAGCGGCGATCACGTACAAGCCGCAAATCCCATCCTTGCCCACGAAACTGTCGCAGTCGACCGTGACCTCACTGGCCGACACGAGCAAGACAGCCACCACCACTCCCGTGAAGATGGCAACACTCCTTGACACTAGCAAGACAGTCACCACCACCACGCCCGTGAAAGCGGCGATCACGTACAAGCCGCAAATCCCATCCTTGCCCACGAAACTGTCGCAGTCGACCGTGACCTCACTGGCCGACACGAGCAAGACAGCCACCACCACTCCCGTGAAGATGGCAAAGCCGGAGACGGCGGAGGACCTTGTGAGCACCAGTAAGACGGGAACCACGGTGAAGGTGTCCTGGGCAACCACGATGGCCGACACGAGCAAGACAACCGGCACCACGACGCCCGTGAAACTGTCGACGTCGACCACCACCACAACAACATCGCCTACCAAGACAACCACCTCGGGCCCGGCCGCCGCCGCCGTGAAACTTTCGGGAGGCTTATCTTAAATGTGGCAAACCCGTGCGCTCGTGGCGACGACCGTAGTGGTGTGACCTAAAGGCAAGCTGAGTTTTAGAAGCATGTTGTGTGTTGTAGCATGTGGGGTGAATTGTGGTGGCGTGTGCTAGGCTGTCTTTGTGATGCATGTTTTGTCCCCTTTCCCATTCCATGTCTTGTAATGCATGTTCTTTTCCCTTTTCCGTTCCATGTTTTGTAATGCATGTCCTTGTAATGCATGTCATTGTAATGCATGAATCTCCTGAACACTTCTAAGTACCGTAAATTCTGTACGTTCAGCATCCTAAACTAGATCCCATGCCTAGGGCTAAGTTACATCAACAGTGATGATTACAATGGTGTCTTCTAACTATTGGTTGGTAGTGTCTTCATGGGAATGCCTGAGGCTTTGAGCCAACCATCACCCAGTTTAGCTGAGTTAGTGTGGTGCTGATTCGTATAAATGGAATGACTCACTAGCACTGACTGACTGACGGTTACTGGGGCAACCACCATCCAGGTCAGCTGATATCTGAACAGGGACTTCTGCAATTGTCCAACCAACAATTCCATGCACTAACAGGGGTGGTTCGGTTCCATAAGGTGGGTCTTCAAGCACAAAACCAAACAACTCTGCATGCGTGGCGTGGCGTGTCATTCAGGAATTCAGTCCGCTAGTGGCAAGTGTTTTTGGACCTGTGTGTGTGGAAAGGACAAAAAGATTTAAGGGAGAAAAAACGAGGGAAAGCTTCAACGATGAAAAAAAGCTTTTGAGGTTGCCGACAAAGAGTGAAGACATGAGGTGCAACGAGAGGGAGGAAAGGAGGCAGGACGGGCGAGAGGGGCGAGAGAAGAGGGAGAGAGAGGAACGGAGACGGGGCGAGAGGGGTTAAGAAGGGCTGAGAGGGGTTGAGAGGATTGCCTGATGAAGGAACTTGGCAAAAGCTGGATGCGACCGCGCTGCTTCGAGCGCCTGGTGGGAGCACAGCAGGGGGATGAGAGGGGATGAGAGGGGATGAGAGGGGATGAGAGGGGATGAGAGGGGATGAGAGGGGATGAGAGGGGATGAGAGGGGATGAGAGGGGATGAGAGGGGATGAGAGGGGATGAGAGGGGATGAGAGGGGATGAGAGGGGATGAGAGGGGATGAGAGGGGATGAGAGGGGATGAGAGGGGATGAGAGGGGATGAGAGGGGATGAGAGGGGATGAGAGGGAATGAGGGGATGTTAGGAAGTGGGGATGGAGGAGGGGCACATGGGAGGAAGAGGTGATGGGGCATCGTGAAATATCGAGGGACATGGGATGAGATAAGACCATGGCCAGAGGTGCGTAGTGCATGCATGGGTGCGATGTTGACAATGACAAGACAGGACGCACGTTGTAACGAGAAACGACGCGAAAGTTGAGCTGGAAGGACGTTGGGGAGGAGGAGTAGGAAGGTACGTGGGAGGCAGCACTAACTGTTTCTGCGCGTGGAGAGCTGTCGATGAGGAGCAGCATGCGCTGCAACTCGTGGTTCTTCTAGAACTTTCTCAACAGTGATCCAACTATAAGGAGGGTAAGTGGGTGGCGGCACTGACTGTTTCTGGATGCGGAGAGTTGTCGATGAGGAGCAGCACGCTCTTTTGGGACTTCTCAACACATGTTTTGAACTCGATACAAAAAACAGAAGCGGCGATGAGAAGGGGCGGGCACTGACTGCTTCTGGGTGTGGGGAGCTGTCGATGAGGAGAAGCATGCGCTGCAACTCGTGGTCTCTCAATTGCTGCCTCAACGCTGCATCGTCCGCTGTGTAGGTGGGGCAGGGGAGGAAGGGAATAGGCGAGTAAGGAAAGTGAGGAGCAGCACGCGTTGCAGCTCGTGGTCTCTCAACTGCTGCCTCAACGCTGAATCGTCCGTCCGCTGTGTGTGGGTGGGGCAAGGGAAGAAGAGCGTAGGTAGGCGAGCAACTCATGCGCAGTCCGCTGTGTGTGGGTGGGGTGGGGTAAGAGAAGTGAGTAGCACCATGCGCTGCAACTCAAGTTGTGGTCCCTCAGCTGCTGTCTTAGGGCTGCATCATCCGCTGTCAAGGCCGTGGGGGAGATGAGGGGGAAACGGGGAGTCAGAAGTGGGGAGTGGGGAAAGAAGGGAGCAGGGAGGTGAGCAACTCAAGTTGTGGTCCCTCAGCTGCTGTCTTAGGGCTGCATCGTCCGCTGTCAAGGCCGTGGGGGAGATGAGGGGGAAACGGGGAGTCAAAAGTGGGGAGTGGGGAAAGAAGGGAGCAGGGAGGTGAGCAACTCAAGTTGTGGTCCCTCAGCTGCTGTCTTAGGGCTGCATCGTCCGCTGAGAGAGGCACGCGGGAAATGAAAGGGGAGAGAGGAGTGGGGAGAGAGGGGAGCGAGGTTGGGAGAGAGGGAGAGGGTAGTGGGGGATTTCCGCTGCTGCTGCTGTTGCCGCTGTCCAAGCTGGCGATGCCACAACGCCCCCTCAACACAGACGCCTTAGAAACGAAGCCTTTACACACACACACGCACGCACGCACGCACGCACGCACGCACGCACGCACGCACGCACGCACGCGCGCGCGCGCACACACACACACACACACACACACACACACACACACACACACACACACACACACACACACACACACACACACAACACACACACACACACAGAGATGACCCTTAAAACATCCCAAAACACAGACGCTAAAAGAACAGAGTCCCTTTATATACATACATATACATAGTATGACCTATTTCTCTGAGTGTGCTGCAGGGGAGACGCCAGGAAAGTTTGTCCTCATCCTCACACTCCTCAAACGGCCGCACAGGCTGCTTCCCCCTGCCGCTGCCGGGGCTGTTGCTGTCTAGTTACCCAAAGCACACACCCAGTGCTAGGTTCTCACCAATCTCCCTGAGTGTGCTGCAGGGCAGACGCCACGAGAGCTCGTCCTCATCCTCACACTCCTCAAACGGCCGCACAGGCTGCTTGCCCCTGCTGCTGTCAGGGCCGGCGCTGCCTTGGGCGTCTGCTGTGGTGGCGGCTGTAGTTCCTCCTGCCTCTGCTGCTGACGTGGCAGGCTGCTCTCTTGGTTGGCATGGCGTTTCTGCAGGGGGGACGATGTGAGAGGGGGAGGGGAGTGAGTGCGGTGAAGAGTGGTTCTACGTGGTGCACGGGTGTCGCAGAGGAGTGAGAAGGTATAGGATGGTTGGGGACGGGTGAGGAAACGGCGAGAGTGTGAGCGAACAGGTGTGAAGAGAGAAGGACGGAGGGAGTGGTGAAAGGAAACCCATGGTCTTCGAAAATTCTCAAAAACCCCATGGCCCTGCAGGGAGGGAAAGAGAACCTGCATGTGTGGGAGGCAATGGGAGAAAATGAGTGGGTTGTGTGCGTGTGTGTGTGCGCGCGAGTGTGAGTGCGTGAGTGCGTGGGTGTGCGTGTGTGTGTTTGTGTGTGTGCCCGAACATTAGTGTGGGTTTGGCATGTATATGAGAGCGCGGAAGGGAGCGCATATATCTTGCACGTGAATATCTCAATATTGGACACCAACGAACCTTAACAAGCAGCACATACAAATTCCTTAACCCAGATCACAAAATCCTGAAACCCAACCCCGAACCCTGAACCTGAAACCCTAACCTTGAACCCTGCGTCCCGTCTTACTCCACCCTGGATCTTCTATACGCGTTACAGTAACTTCGGACTGACCTTTATGCGTTCGGCAGCAGGCGACAGAGCAGCTTGGGAGGCGCCGCAGGGAGGGGCGAGGCGAAGAAGCATGGCGAATGACCGAGGGAAGGAACAGGGGGGTTGGGGAGAAATGAGGGAAGGAACAGGTGCAGTTGGGGAGAAATGAGGGGAGCAACCGGGGGAAGAAAGAGAGAGGGAGAAAGGAAGTCACAATCACATGTGTTACACTCCGCAGGGCTTCGATGTGTAAGGAGTGTTTACGTTCAAGGGTTGTGAGGCCAGCAGACGTACTAGGGAGAGAGGCACGTGGGGCATTTGTATTTCGCGGCTTGCGACTGGCACACGACGCACGGCTGCTGTCCACCTTTCGCCATGCTGCACTGCGACGAGCGAACGACAAGCGTGCGAAAATCGTGCGACGGCTCGGAGCTTTTTTCCTAGATTTCACGAAAGAATGCGAAGAGGGCGCTGAGACGGTTTGTGAGACCTAATCGTCCACTAGCTTTGACTGAGAAGGTGTGCAACTACCCGATTCTTTCAAATGCGATTTTCGAATACCTAATCTTCTTCGGTCGCCAAGATTCTGATCTGCTGGTGTTGGGGTCAGCGAACGGGGCTCCGTGGGATTCAGAGCTTGTTTCTGCTAGCTGTAGGCGGTTTGGCGGTTTGGCGACGCTCGGAGGCGTTTTGTGGTTCGTTAAGTGTGTGAATTAGGCGTGTGAGACGGGCCTTGTTTCAGAATAGAGTTCAAGCAGTGGTAGAAATAGGTCGAAATCAGTGTGTGCTTTGCACTTCGGATCAACCCGGGTCAATTCGCGATTTCAAGGAAAACTCCAGACAACAGCGAATGCGACCCCGAAGTGTAACAATTTTGAAATTTGTACAAACAGATTTCCATTTGCTCTCTGTCGAACTGCGTTCAGCCAACCAATCCCAAGGCAGCCAATCCCAATCAACCGGCCAGTCATCGTGCGGCAGCTCTCTTGCGCGCCACAGCTGATGACCATTGGCTGCCTTCCACGCTGCCCACCGCACCTTTCGACGGTCAAGCGGCTGTGAGGTATTTTCTTCCGCTCTGTAACACTTTGAAAGCATACGGCACCGTACCGTAAAGCTTCTACTGGCTAGTTGTGGTGTTCCCAAGATGCTGTCTGCTCGCCTTGCCCCATCCTAGATTCTCCATCCATAGCACTCCACATCATTTCGCCTACATATCATGGTTTCAATCGGTTTGTTCTGGTCCAAATGAGTACGGAACCGTAACAGACGATGAGTGGATGGAGGCGGGGAAAGAGACGATTCCCATAGCTAGAAGTAGATGACGTGGATTGAATTGACCCACGCATATCCAGACGTCCCATAATCGGGCTCGCCGTGAGTTGCGGCGACATGAGCGTTTTGTGGATGATTCCCAACGGCGCGTTACGCCTCACGCTTATTATACCCTTCGTTCGCGTCGTCTCTAATTACGCACTAGTACTGTTTTAGTATTGATCGGCCACGACGAGCCTTCGCGAATATTTGGAGTTCAGTATGAACGCTTTCGGGATACGGCAAGGAGGTTCTTTCAGGATTCAGGCACGCGATTCCTTCTACGGTTAAGATTCCCGTTTAGCAACTCGTGATCAGCGACCTCACGCATGGTCACGGCCGTCGTGAAATCTCCTTCACAGCGTTTCGCAGTTGACTGCTATTCTAAAATCCAGATATCATGGATTTCGGTTTCGGCCTCTTCCAAACCAAACGGCAAAGCCCCAACCCGCCGAAATCCGCATCAGGCGCATCAGCTACAAGCCCCCGCGCATTCACTGGTTCAGGCGCAGATTCCTCCTCCTCGTCTCTACTCTCCTTCGGTCCGTACCTCCCACTAGCAACCGCCAGCGAAGCTAGCAGCAAGCCTCTGAGCGCATCAGGCGCCGCAGCTCCCGCTGGGTCCACTTCCTCCACTTCCTCCTCTTCAAGCGGTCAGACCAGTGCCACCGCGAAACGCGGCGGGACTTCCGGCGCTACTCGTGCTGGTTTGCCTGCCGGGGGAAGAGATTTAGGGGGAGGTGGATATGGGGGAAGTGGAACCAGGGGAGGTTTGACTTACGCCGGATCGAGTGGTGAGGGGATGGGTGGGAGAGGAGCGTTAAGGACTGCTGTGGGTGGCGGCGGCGGCGGTGGTAACCATGTTACCAGCGGTTTCGATGGTGAAAGTGGTATTGTTAGTGGTGCGGGTAGGTTGAATGGTTCCAGTACGATGACAAGTGCAGGAGCAGGTTCAGGAGGCATGGGGGGCGTAGGATACTTAGAAGGAGGAGCAAGAGGAGCAAGAGGAGCGGGACGAGAGGCAGGGATTCCAGACGGTAAAGTAGGGGCAGTTAGGGCAGAGAGGGCTAGTACTGCTGGTGCCTTCTCCGCCGGCCCTACTGGCACCTCCCGTGTCAACCCTATCCGTGCCTCTACTGGCGCTGCTGTCACCGCTGGTGCTGCTGGTTCTGCTGGCGCTAGTGGTGCTGCCACCAGCACCATCAGGAGCACCACCACCAGCACCAACAGCAGCAGCGGTAGCAGCGGTATCAGCAGCAGCAGCAGGGGCGGAGTGACAGGGAGTGGCAAGTCGGATCTGTTGTCTCGGGACTTATGGATGAAGGACAGCCACGCGTTGCATTGCTACGCGTGTGATGCACAGTTCACCATCCTCAACCGCCGCCACCACTGCCGCCGCTGCGGCCGTGTCTTCTGCGGCCGCTGCACCCAGCGCTCCATCCCCATGCCCTTCCTTCGCCGCGACCAGCCGCGGCCGCTCCTGCCTGCTGCTGCTGCTGGTGCTGCTGCTGGTGCTGGTGCTGGTGCTGCTGGTGCTGGTGCTGCTGGTGGTGGTGCGACCGGTGGTGCTGCTGCTGCTGCTGGTGGTGGTGGTGCTGCTGCTGGGGGTCATTCTGCTGGTGGTGCTGCTGGTGGTATTGGTGGGGTTCAGGATTTTGCTACTGAGAAGGTTCGGGTGTGCGACCAGTGTTATGCCGAGGCTCTCAGCTTGCCTCGGAAGGAATCCCAGCCGAGAGGCGGAGGTTCGGGGCTGTGGGAAGCGGTGGAGGTGGGGGAAGGGAGAGGAGGAGGGGGGCAGGGGAGGAGAGGGATGGGAGAAGGAAGGGGAGGAAGAGGAGAGGGGAGGGGAGGAGAAGGGGATATGTGGGAGGAGGGAGGGAATATGAGGAGGGGAGTGGGAGGGGGAAGGGGTGATAGTGGAGGAGTAGGGGGGGAAATGGGCGGAATGTTTGGGCCTGGCATAGGGAGGGGTGCGCTGAAGAGCTTTTCAGTGGGGGAGGGGTGGGGGAGAGACAGCAGGGGCGGGTATAGGGGAGAAGGAGGGGCGCTGTTGGGGTTCAGACGGCAGCAGAGCAGTGGGTTGGCGGAGGGCGTGGGAGAAGGAGGTGGAGTTGGGTCGCAGTATGAGTTCAGGCACCCGCAATACAGGTCGGCACTGGTTGGCATTACCTTTTGTGTGTGTGTGTGTGTGTGTGTGTGTGTGTGTGTGTGTGTGTGTGTGTGTGTGTGTGTGTGTTTCTGCTTCTGCTAGTGTTTTTTCTCACTGCCCTGGCCATCATGCGCTGATCCGTTTTTCTTCTTCTTCTTCGTTGAGTATTTTTGGCCTTGTCCTTCTTACCCTCTTCCTTTCGCACTCCCTTTCTAACACCGTGGCTGTTATTGCAACGCCTCTTACAATTGTGCAGGATTGATGATGAAGATTATGGAGAAGAGGAAGAGGAGGACGCAGAGGAGGAGGAAGAAGAAGAAGAGGAGGAGGACGAGGATGAGGAGGACGATGACGAGGAGGAGGAGGAGGAGGAGGATGAGGAAGAGGAGGAGGAGGAGATGGGGTATATACTTTCTCAGGGAAGGGCGAGACGAAGAGGCAGGGTAAGGGAGAGTACCGACTCTAGGGGAAACGGTCCGGGGGAAAGGTTAAGAGGAGAAAGTGAAGGAGATAAGTTGCTTTCAGGAGGCAAAGGGGATAGAAGAGGTGGGAATCGAGCACAGGCGGAAGCAGCAACAGCAGCAGCATTAGGAGATAAAGGAGGAATTATGAACGAGGAAAGGATGAAAGGAAGAGTCGGAGGGGGAGTGGGCGCAGGAGGAACAGGAGGGGGAGCAGGAGCAGGAGCAGGAGTAGGAGCAGGAGGAATAGGAGGAAAAGGAGGAGGCATGGTTGGTATTGGGAGTGGAGGTCAAGCAGAAGCAACACGGAAAGGGTTGTTGGGTCTGACTGGCTTTGGTGTTGGGGGTCTGAGTGGGTTTGGCGTGGGGTTCCAGTCCCGGACTCTCTCACATGACAGCCTTGTGGGGCTCAGTGGGGCTCAGGATGGGGGGAGGAGCGAGAGAAGTGGTTCGGACGGACGAAGCGAGAGGAATGGTTCGGACGGACGAAGCGAGAGGAGTGGTTCGGATTCGAAGTGGAGGGTTGGTAGGGAGGCTGTAGTGGAAAGGAGGGAAGGGGAGGATGGGGAGGTGGAAGCGAGGAGAGGACCCCATGCTCGGCATAGTCACATTCATTATTATGACCCGAGGCACCATCACCAGCAGCAGCAGAAGCAGCAGCAGCAGCCTGAGCACGAGTACCAGTCCAGGCAGCAGCAGCATGGGCCAAGGCAGAGGCATGTGGAGCAGCGTGACATGCAGCCTGCCTCAGCGAGTGATGATCAAGTGCACACAGGGCCAGTGAAAGGAAACGCCAGTGCTGGTGGCAGCACCACTAGTGGTAGCAGCAGCTGGGGGATGGTAGAGCTTGGTTCTGCTATCAGCGACTACAGCAGCAGCACAGGACAGAGCAGTATGAATAGCAAGGGCACGAGCAGCAGTAACGCCGTTTCGGGCAGCAGCAGCACTGAGATTAGCAGCAGCGCGGCACAAGGCCTGTCACAGACCCTCCCACCGTCACTTGCCGCAGCAGCAGTAAGCACACGTGATGGAAACACACTCACCCCAAGCGAGCCGCAAAGTTCGCACGAAAAAGAGAGCAGCAGCAGAGATACGGCTGGCACTGACACCAGGCAAGGCATTCCCATCAGCAACGCACCACCAAAGCCCAAAGAGCCGTACGAGCGACTAGGGTCCATCAAGGGGTGGGGCGGCTGGGAGCACCTTGGGGCAGCAGAGGAGGAGAGTGACAGAGAGAGCCCGTCTATGTGGGACCTCGCTTACTTCCCTCTTGGGTTTACTAGGACGTTTGGGCTTGGGCTGGGTGGGGGGAAAGCAGTGGGGAGTAGGATGGGCGGTGGTGGGGGAACGAGTGGTGGTGGTGACGGCGGTGTGGGTAAGTCGTCGTCGGTTAATGCGCTCGATTCGTTTCCGTTCTCGCTTATTTCGCCACGAGGGCCCAAGCCTGCAGCTGCATTGCCTGCTGCTGCTGCCTTGCCTGCTGCTCCTGCCGCACCTGCTGCCCCTGTTGCTCCTGCTACTTCTTCTGCCACTCCTGCTTCGGGAGGCAGTAACGCTCCAGCTGCTGGGCTACCAGCAGCAGTAACAGCAGCTGCCGAGCATGGAAGGCCGTCTCTCTCACGTCCCACCACACCTCCCCACCCCAGCACGAATGGGGGTCACGTTGACAACAGGGCTGTCCCTGGTTCTGCCTCTAGCACTGCCCCTACTGCCCCGTATGCCACTGGAAACAATTTCACTGTCACGACTGCCACTGGCTTGACTACCAGAGGGGGCCCTGGTGGTCGGCTGGAGGGAGGGGGCGGCACGGGTGGGGCCTTGAGAGGGGTGGCGAGGACGAGGAGTGGGTTTGGTCTGGAGGAAGGGGAGGCCGTGGAGGATAGTGATTGGTGGTGCCGGGATAAGTGGACGCTGGGGAAGAGGGGAGGCAGAGGTGGTGCCAGGGCTGCTGCTGATGGCGCTTCTGCTGGCACTGCTGCTTCTGCTAGGCAAGGAGAGGGAGTAGGGCATGGGGAGCAGTGGCAGAGAGGGGAGATGGGTGAGGGGTTAGCGGTAGGTGTGGGGGGGACAGGAGCAGCGGGAGTGGGTGAGCTATCGCAAGATAAGAGTGGCGTCAACACATTAGTTGAGACTAAAGGTGCTGCCCCTGGTGCTGCTGCCTTGGCAGATTCTTCTGAAATGGGATCAGGAGCAACAGCAGCAGGACCAGAAGCATCACCGAATCCTGTGCCAGCAGGATTTTCAGCGGAAGCACCAGCAGCCAATGTAGCAGGAATGCCTGTCAAAGCAGGAATAACGGACTCTCAACAGCAGCCGCAGCAGCAGAAGCAGCAGCAGCAGCAGTCAGTGGGGAGAGGAGCACAGGGGGCGCAGTATAACGTGGTGAAGGGGCCAGTGCTGCACATCCGCACAGGCAGCCAGGACCTCTGGCGGCCTGGGGATGATACCCATGGCCCCCCTGCTGCCCCTGCTTCTGCCACTCCCTCTGCTTCTGCTGCGGCTGCTGCTGCTGCTGCTGCTACTGCGGCTGTTGCTGCTGCTGCTCCTGGTGCTGCTAGTGGTGGGGGCGGGGGAGGAGAGGTGGGAGGAGGGGTTGGAGGAACAGGGGGGGGAGCAGGAGGGGGAAGCAGCGGGCTTGTACGTTCCGGGTCGATTGGAGCGGTTGGGTCCGGTGTGGTGGGGTCTGGTGTGGATGATCATGATCGAGTCGGGGCAATGATAGTTGCTACTCCCACTGCCTCTGGCTCAGCCACTCCCAGACCCCGGTCTATACAGGAAGATGCAGATGCGGGGGAGGAGAGTGTGGAAGGAGTGGCGTCCGGATTCGGCGTATCTCCGTACCTGCAGTCGTCGTACGGCTCGTCGTCCTCCGAGTGTCCAGATGCAGTGAATCTGGAGGCGAATAGCAAGCTGTGGGAGACGCCGCCTCCAGATTTGTCTGCACTTGGGGGAGGTGGGATCCAGGGCAGGGGCAGGCCGGTTGCATATGAGGATGAGGAGGACGAGGAGGGAAGCTGGTGGAATGAGAGAGGAGGGGAAGGAGAAGGGGAAGGGGCAGGAGATGGGTGGGACGCTGGGAGTAGCACTGGTCAGTATGGTGATAGCACATCAGCTGTGTATGGGAGCGGGGAGGGGTGGCAGGGGGATGGACAGATGGGGGCATACAGCGGAGCAGGAGGAGGACCAGGAGGAGGAGGCGGAACAACACGAACAGGGGGGAAAGAGGGAGGAGGAGGAGGTGCTACAGCTGCTGCTGCTGCTGCAGCACCAGCAGGGGCGGGGGCAGTGCTACCAGGCAGTGTGGATGCACGGGAGAGGCTAAGGGAGGTGGTGGAGGGGCATTTCAGCGCGCTAGTGGAGCAGATGCTCAAAGCAGAGGGGCTGCAGGCAGGGGCTGAGGGAGACCCCGAGGGATGGCTCGAGGTGGTTCGGCGCCTGGCCTCCGAAGCTGCGTCGCTGGTTCGGCCGGACTCGAGCTCGATGGGAGGGTATATGGACCCGGGCGGATACATCAAAGTGAAGTGCATTGCGGGGGGCAAGCGCAGTGAGAGGTATGTGTCAGGGGGATTGTCTGGGTGGAAAAGCATAGCAGGATGGTGGGTAGGTGGGAAAGGGAGGAGCTGCAGCGGCCTGTTGTGGCTCTAGCTCGATGGGGGGGTACATGGACCCGGGCGGGTACATCAAAGTGAAGTGCATTGCTGGGGGCAAGCGCAGTGAGAGGTAAGGCCCTTACTGTAAAAAGGGGGCTCAGAGGGAAAGCATGACAGTAAGGTGCATACGTAGTGTTTGTTTCCCTCATTTGCTGTTCTTCCTTCCTTGTCATCCGTACCTTCCCTCGCAGTTGTGTGGTAGATGGGGTGGTGTGTCGCAAGAACGTGGCCAACAAGCGAATGGCATCGGACATTCGGTGGCCGCACATTGCTCTGCTTGCCTCCACCCTCGAGTATCAGCGCTGCCCCAACCGCCTCTCCTCCATCGACACGCTCCTCGCCCAGGTGGGTGCAGGTTGACTGCGGTTGGCTGCGGCTGGCTTGGGTTGGCTTAGGTTGACGATTCTCAATCATACACACTCCGAACTTTAACCTCAGGGTTGTAAGTTTCAAGATTCAAACCTTCATTCCATTCTGCCTTCTTCTCGCCCCCTTCTTCATCCGATCTTCTCTTGCTTTCGCTCCTCTCTCACCTCATCTGTCCTCCCCAGCAAGAGACTCATCTGCGCCACATTCTGCAGAAGATCGAGCACACATACTGAGATGTCTTTAATCTTTCCCGTCTCCCATCCTTCCCTTCTTCTCTTATTTCTCCCTCTCTCGTTGACCCATTCCCCAGCAAGAGACCCATCTGCGCCACATGCTACAGAAGATCGAGCGCAAGTTCCCATGCCCTGCCCCCACACAAGCCCCTGTACAAGCCTACCCACAAGGCCCCTCACAAGCCTACCCCCAAGGTTACTCCCAACGGCCGCCCAGCAGCCATGGTGCACTCTCTGTCCCAACCACACCTACGGGAGCAGCAGTGGGGGCGAGAGGGCGGGGTTTCAGAGGCGAAGGGGAGCCAGGAGCGGGGCTGGTGAGGCAGACTGGAGTGCTTGGGAGTGGTGCCTTCGGTGGTGGGGGTGGGGGTGGGGGTGGTGGGGTTGCTGCTGGGGGGTTCGGGGGTGGGTATGGTGGTGGTGGTGGGGGTGGTGGTGGTGGTGGGGGGGGTGGGCATAGGAGGACAGGCAGCAATGCCAGCAGCACCACGGGAAGCATTATCAGCACTGGCAGCAGCAACAACAACAGCAACAACAGCAGCAGCACGTACAACCAAGCACCGGCTCCAGGCGGGTTAACCCGCTACAGCAGCATGGGAAGCACCCACAGCCTCACCAGCTACCCCGCCACTCCTGTCACCACAAGCAGCGGCAGCAGCAACGCCCCTGGCTCAATCCCCCCAACCCCCTCAGTGGCTGGTGCAGGCGGGCAGATGGGTGGGCAGATGGGCGGGCAGGCGGGCGGGCAGGTGGGCGGGCAGGTGGGCGGGCAGGCGGGCGGGCGGGTGGGCGGGCAGGCGGGCGGGCAGGCGGGCGGCAGTGTGTTGCTAGTGGAGGGAACAGTCTCCGGCTTCGCGCAGCAGTGGATGGTGGAGCACCGCATGTCTCTCGTCTTCAATGTCAAACGCTCCCTCCTAGAGAGAGTGGCGCGCTGCACGGGAGCTAAGGTGGCCCAGTCCGCTGAGACTCTGGATCGGCTGGGGCAGTGCCAGCGGTTCTGGACGCGGAAGTTTGTGGAGGAGTGGGATGCGGTGGGGAGAGGTGGCGGTGGGGCGGGGGCGGAGGGAGGTGTGGGGGGAGCCAGGGGGAGGGGGCCTGCGGTGGGTGTGAGTGTGGTTGGTAGTGGTGGTGGTGGTGGTGGTGGTGGTGGTGGTGGTGGTGGTGGTGGTGGTGGTGGTGGTGGCAGTATTGCGGCTGCTGGTGGTGCTGCTGGGGGTGGTCGCAAGAACGTGAAGACGCTGTTGTTTCTTGAGGGCTGCCCGATTCCTCTCGGCTGCACCGTATGTGCTACCTCACTCCCTGGAAGCTGCTCTGCTCTTTCTTGTGTGCATCCTCATCCTTCTCCTCTTGAGCCGTGACAGCTTTATCGTGAAGTGGGTGAAGCGGGTGATGCACTTGCCCTGCCCGGACTCCATTTCTCTCAGTCCCCCGCACTCCCCTTCCCCCCCGGCTCCACTTCCCGAGCAGGTGTTGCTGATGGGGGCGCCTACAGCGGAGCTGAAGAGGGTGAAGCGGGTGATGCACTTTGCAGTGTTCGCCTCCTACCACCTCGCCCTCGAAACCTCCTTCCTTGCAGACGAAGGCGCCCTTCCCCCAGGCATCGCTCCCTGCCCCCCTCTGTGTGCCACGTTACCTCCTCCTGCTCCTGCTGCTCCTTTCAATTCCGCTCCTGCTGCTGCTGCCCCGTTTCCGGCTGTTGCTGTTGACCCTCCTCCTCCTCCTCCTGCTGCTGCTACTGCTGCTGCTGCTGGTGCTGCTGACGCGGCTTTCTCAGGTGAATCTGCTGCTGCTGATGCTCCAGCATGGCCAGGAGATTGTGGGATTGGGGAGGGTGCAAGTGGGGAGCAAGATAGACTAGCACATGCACAGGTCTCTGCTGCTCCGGTTGGGTCTCATCTGCCGGCTGGCACTCCGCCATTGGCTGGTGATGCTCCGGCGGCGCAGCCTCATCTGCTTGCTGACGTCATGGCTGCTGACGTGGCTTCCACAGATATTTCGTCTGCTGCTGATCGTTCTGCCAGAACTGGTGCTGGTACAATCACCCCTCCTCCTGCTATAGTCACATCTGTACCCGTTAGTAGCAGCAGCAGTGGCAGCAACAGGCCGTCACCTCGCCGGATTGCACAGCTATCAGCATCCCTCTGGGCCAGTGGGGTGCCTGCTGTGAGGGAGAGTGAAGAGAGCGTGAGGGAGAGTGAAGAGAGTGTGAGGGAGAGTGGGGAGGGTGTGAGGGAGAGTGGGGAGGGTGTGAGGGAGGGTGAAGAAGTTGTTGAAAGGCAGGGTGGTGGTGAAGAAGAGGAGGTGGGTAATGGGAAAGCAGGAGGAGAAGGAAGGTCAGGTGGAGGTGCAGAGGGTGCAGGAGAGGCGGCAGGAGAGGCGGCAGGAGAGGCGGCAGGAGAGGCGGCAGGAGAGCCACGTGTAGCGAGGGTGTTTTTGAGACGTCTCAAAAACACTCTCGCTACAGGAGAGGCGGCAGGGGGAGGCAAGGGAAGGCAGAGGGAAGCAAACGTGGCAGCACACAGAGGGGCGATGGAGAACGAGTCTCCCTCAGCAGCTGCAGCTGCAGCACCAGCACCAGCAGAATCTCTAGCAGAGGCAGCAACAGAGGAGAAAGCAGCATCAGGTGGTGAGGTGATGCTGCGTGTGTCAGCACAAGGACAGCAGCGACAGGTGGGTGAGGACGAGGAGCTGAATCTGAAGCCTACCCAGCAGCCGCCAGGGGTGCTTTCTCCTCCTCCACAGCTCCAGCCGCAGCAGCAGGCGCAGCAGCAGGCGCAGCAGCGGCAGCAGGGAGGGGTTGGCATAGCGATTCTGCTGGAAGGAACAGATACAGTGGACGCACATGCAGCGATTGAAGCTTCTACCAGTGCTCCCGGTGTTGCTGCTGTTGCCATCAATGGCCCTACAGCAGCAGCTCAACAGAGCAAGGCGGGTCCCTCAGCAGACTCGTCCCCATCCGTTGCCCCAGAAGCAGCACGTGACGCACCACCCACAATACCAGCAGCATCAGCACCTTCAGCAGCACCAGCAGCAGCAGCAGCAGCAGAAGAAGGAGGGAGGGACCCCGTCCCTCAGCCCCTTGCTATTCCCCCCTCTCTAGCCCCACAGGCCCAGCTCGCCCCTCTCACCCCACAGCCCCACCTGGCCCACCCGCTGGCCCCGGTGTCCCCCTCAGAGCACCAGTCGATCCTGGTGTGGGCGTCCAGCCGCTGTGTGTCGCGCAAGCTGCTGTGTGAGCCACCGGAGCTGATGCGCATCAAGTATTACGGCGATAGGGACATGCCGCTGGGGCATTTTCTGACTCAGTTTGTGCTCAACCCCCTCTGGGTGAGTGGGCCCTCTTTCTGGCTTCCAGGAAGTGTGTGGTGAGTGGACCCTCCCTCTTTGTTGTCTTGTGTGTGTGTATGCGTGTAGATAAGGGTGTGGAAGAGGGAGTGGGGGGAGTGGATGTGAGATAGTGTGGGTGTAATGTCGTTAGGGCATCGCACACTCTCGCACATGCCATGATGGGACCATGTGTGGGTCTACCCCCACAACGGAGGCCTCTCTCACCATTTCCTTCTTCTCTCACCTTCTCTCTTCCCCTTCTCCCTGTCTCCTCTCCTCTCCCCTGCCAGCGCTGCAAGTGCTGCATGCCATCACAAGAACACATGCGTGTCTATTCCCACAAGGAGGGCTCATTCGCCATTTCCTCCTTCTCCCCCTGTCTCACTCTCTCTCTCACTCCCCTCTTTTCCCTCCTTCCTACCTCCCAGCGTTGCAAGTGCGGCATGCCATCACAGGACCATGTGCGTGTGTATTCACACAAAGAAGGTTCTCTCACCATCTCCGTGCGCAAGGCCGACGACATCCTCCCCCCCACACACCCCCTGCAACTGCCAGGGGGAGGGGGGGCAAGCGGGGGTAGAGGAGCCTACGGGGGAGGTGGAGGGGCGTACGGGGGAGGTGGAGGGGCGTACGGGGGAGGCGGGGTGAGTGGCGGAACAGGAGAGGGGGATATGGGTTGTGGTCAGGAGTCTGCTGTGTCTGCTGCTGGGTCTACTGGGGCTGCTGCAGTGGGCGGTGCGTGTCCACCGCCCGCTGCCGCGCGGTGCATCTGGATGTGGCACCGCTGCCGGCAGTGCCGCCCCGTGGACGGAGTGGCGCCGGCCACGCGCCGCGTGCTCATGTCTGAGGCCGCCTGCAAGCTGTCGCTGGGAAAGTTCCTGGAGCTTTCGTTTACGAACCACGTGGTGGTGGGGCGGCTGGCGGCATGTGGGCACTCGCTGCACCGCGACTGCCTGCGCTTCTACCGGTGGGTGGCAGCGTCTGTCCTTTTACCATGCTTTTTTTCCCTGTGAGCAGGAGTGGCGAGATGATATCGATGCCTGGCCTGCTCTCCCATGCATCTCTATTCCTGCCTCCTCTGCGCCTCAGCTTCAACCACCGCTTTTGAGACGTCTCAAAAAGACCATGCTTTTCCTCCTCTTTCCTTGTGCCATGCTTTTTTTTCCCTGTGAGCAGGAGTGGTGAGATGATAGCATGCCTGGCCTACTCGCCCATGCACCTCTACTCCGTCTGCCTGCCTCCTCTGCGCCTCAGCTTCAACCTCCATCAGCAGCAGCAGTGGCTCGTGGACGAGTTCAACGATGTGAGTGCTGCTGCTGTTGACTCAGTTGACTGCGTGACTTGGAACGATGCCTCACTGCTCATGTGGTAGCTGTCCAAGCACCGGCAGCAGCAGATGAATCAGCCACTGTATGCGATGGACGTGATGTGATGCATGTGTGTCCCCGCATGTGCTGCAGGTGGCGGAGGCAGCAGAGCAAGTCTTTATGGACATTATGAACGCACTGGACGCCCTCGCAGCGCGCCAGGCTGTTGCTGTGCCAGGCAGCTCAGCACCCAGTTTCTCCTCCCTCCCCCACCCCCACAGGTGGCGGAGGCGGCAGAGCGAGTGTTCATGGACATCATGAACGCGCTGGACGCCCTCGCAGCACGCCTGGTGCAGGTAACTGCAAGGTACCTTCCTTACTCAACACACCTGTCTCTCCCTCCACCCTCCTCCCCCACATCCTGCAGGTGGCGGAGGCAGCAGAGCGCATCTTCATGGACATCATGAACGCCCTGGACGCTCTTGCAGCGCGCCTGGCAGCGGGCGGGCCGCTGTCTGCCAGCCGCTTCCCCGAGGCACGCGCGAGCCTGGCATTGCTGGAGGCGACTCTGCAGCGCGATAAGGCGATGTTTGATGTGAGTATGGTGTGGTAAGGTGTGGTGCGGTTGAATGCGATTCATTCTCTGGTAGCCCACCTGGTGGCGGGCAGTCCACTCTCTGCCAGCCACTTCCCCGAGGCACGGGCCAGCCTGGCGCTGCTGGAGGCGACTCTGCAGCGCGACAAGGCTTCGTCTGATGTGAGTGCGGTAGAGTGTGGTGTGGTGTGGTGCTGTGCGGCCGAATGCGCTGGACGCCCTGGCAGCGCGCCTGGCAGCGGGTGGGCCGCTGTCTGCCAGCCGCTTCCCCGAGGCACGGGCCAGCCTCGCGTTACTGGAAGCCACTCTGCAGTGCGATAAGGCCATGTTTGATGTGAGTGTTTGGTGTGCTGTGCTGAGCTGAGCTGTGCTGTGCTGTGCTGTGCTGTGCTGTGCTGTGCTGTGCTGTGCTGTGCTGTGCTGTGCTGTGCTGTGCTTGATAGAATTCAAGAATGGTTGAGTAATGAGCCAAGGAGGCTCTATAGTACAAGCATGCAAGGAAGAGAGGTTGGAAGAAGGTGCAACCCTATTGGCCACTAAGTTGGCCAATGGGTGAGTTGCCTTGTGGAGTAGGGAACCCCACAATGTTGCTAGCTTGTGATTGGTTGGCCTTAGGACCAAATGTTGGCAAGTGCCAACCAAGGACCAAGACCAAACCAAATCTTGACCCAACCACAAAGTGTGGTTGGAGTGTACACCCAACCCCCCAATGGCTTAAAGAGCTACACCTATTCTAGCCTATGTATGTTGTATATATAAGATACATTTACAACAGTGCTGTGCTGTGCTGTGCTGTGCTGTGCTGTGCCGTCCTGTGCTATGCTGTGCCGTCCTGTGCTATGCTGTGTCGTCCTGTGCTATGCTGTGCCGTCCTGTGCTATGCTGTGCCGTCCTGTGCTATGCTGTGCCGTCCTGTGGTATGCTGTGCCGTCCTGTGCAGTACTGTGCCGTCCGACCGACTAACCTACTGACCGATTGACTGGCCTACTGACCGACCGACTAACCTACTGACCGATTGACTGGCCTACTGACTGGCATGGTCTTGTTGTTTCTCGGAAGATCTGTTGTCTGCATATCTTGGTGTTTCTCACTTACTGCACTTCTTTCCCATCCCTCCACTATTCCCGCCACAGAAAAAGCTCCAGCAGGCAGCACCGGATTTCAGCCTGCCCGCCGGGCAGCCCGTGACAGACATTCTGGAGCTGAACCGAGTGCGGCGAGATCTGACCGTCCATTTGGCCGAGTGGGCGGAGCGGCTGCAAAGATTAGCGGCTGAGATTCAACAGCCGTCGCAACAACCAGCCAGCCTCAGAGCAGCAGCAGTAGCGGCACCTCCAATGCAGTCCGAAGCACCAGTAGCTTCACCTGCAGCAGCAGGGTCGGAAGCAGGTGGAGAAGAAGCAGGGCCTCTGCACCTCGCTGCCCGCTCTGCCGAGGCTCGGCGAAAGGAGGCCTGGGCGGCGGAGGCTCGGGAAACAGAGGCTCGGGGAACAGAGGCTCCAGGGACAGAGGCTCGGGGAACAGAGCCTCCAGGGACAGAGGCTCGGGAAACAGAGGCTCAGGGAACAGAGCCTCCAGGGACAGAGGCTCGGGGAACAGATGATGGGGAACCGGGTGCAGGAGGGACAGAGGTTGAGGAAACAGAGGCCGGGGAAGCAGGGAGAGAAGGGTCCGCTCTGCCAGTATTGGAAGGTCTCGGGAAGGATGAGGTTAAAGAAGGAGACAGTGGGAGGAAGATAGAGCAGGAAGGCGAGAGTGGTGCTGGGAGCGTGTTGCATGATGGGGAGGAGGGAGGAGTGGAGGAAAATGGAGTGGAGGGGAAGGAAGAGGAGGTAGTGGAGGGAGAGGAGGGTATCAAGGGGCGTGGGGTTGAGCAGAAGGGAGAAGAGGGTTTCAAGGAGAGCGAGGTGGATGGGAAGTTGGAGGGTGGTTGCAATAAGGGAGAGGGAGAAGTGGGAGCGAGCGGTGAGGCAGCGACCTCAAATGTAATGGGTGGTGGTGATGCTGAGAGTGAGTGCAAGGAGGGTGAGCCAAGCGGCATTGGTGCAGCAGCAGATGCATCTGGGGAGGAGAAGGCAGAAGCATCTGATGAGAGCTCGGCGCCCCTTATTGTGAATGTGAGCCAGGAACCAGCAGCAGGCAGGGGTGACGAAGACAATACAGGGGTGACGATACAAGGTGCTGTGCCGAATGTGCTTACAGCTGTTGTCCCTGTTGGTGCTGCTGCTGCTACTGTGGCTGAAGGAATTCCTGCGACAGCAGCTGCTGCTGTGGCTGCTGTTACTGCTGTTTCTGCTACTACTCCTTCTGCAACTGCCGCCGCTGCTGCACCTGCAGTTGAACAGGCCACTGGTCCTGCGGCTCTCCTTGGTGCTGACGTGGCAGCTGATGTGGCGGTTGCTGAGTCAGCAGCAGATGCTGCAGCAGTTGCTGACTGGGCGGTTGGGGTGGCAGGAGCAGCAGTGGTGCCCCGAGCCCTGTCAGTTGGGCATCTCCCTGTGTGGGCCTCCTTCCCTGCTGCTGTTTCATCAGCCTTGCCATCAGCCCTACCAGTACCTTTACCATTGGTCCTACCAGCAGCAGCCTTACCATCGGTTTTACCAGTAGCTTTACCAGAAATTTCATTACCAGCCTCGTCTGCAGCGGTTGTAACCATTTTACCTGGAGCAACGCCAGCAGCAGCAGCAGTTGCAGCAGAAGAAGCACCAGAAGGAGCACCAGCAACAGCGGTGGCAGAAGCAGCAGCACCCTCACCAGCATCAGCAGTAGAAGCAGCAGCACCAGCACCTGCACCAGAAACAGCCACAGCAGCAGCAACAGCGGCAGCACCAGCGGCAGCACCAGCGACAGCACCAGCGGGAGCAACAGCAACAGCAGCAGAAGCGCCAGCAGCAGCAGAAGCAGGAAGGACGAGCATGGCAGCAGGTCTAAGCAGTGCCCTGTCAGGTGCATGGGGGTCATTCCTGCTCCCGTTCTCCCGACCTGCCAGCGTCAACAGTGCTGCATCGCTGGAGGGGCAGGCCGAGGTGAGTGAGGAGAGGGATGCAGGACGAGGTAGGGAGGAGAAGGCAGGGGAGGAGGAGGCAGGAGAGGGAAAACCAGGGGAGGAGAAGGAAGAGGAGGAGAATGCGGAGGCCGAGAAGGCAGGGGAGGAAAGCACACTGGGGAGAGACAAGGTGAGTGCGGCAGAAGTTGCGGCTGCAGTGGCGGAGATGGCGGAAGAGGATGAGGAGAATGTAGAGGAGGTAAAGCAGGAGGAGTTGACTTCTCAGGATGGTGATGGCATGGATGGGGGGTGCGTGAGTGAGGTGGTTGCTGATGCTGCTGCTGAGTGCGTGCAGGATGATCATAGGAATGGTGATACTGACGATGCTGATGAGACGGATGGGACTGATGGGACAGCGCAGGGCGCAGCTTTGGCGGTGGAAAGTGGGAGAGACGCTGGCAGCTACAGCTTCTCGGAGTGGAGCAGAGAAGGGAGGGTGCAAGGGCAGGAGGGACGGAGTGCAGAGGAAGGGATTGAGGAGCGGAAGGAGGAGGGTGGAACGAGAGGGGAAGGGGATGAGAAGAGGGACAAGGCGGGAGGAACAAGAGGCGATAGGGATGAGGAGAGAGGTGAGAAGGGAGGAAGGGAAGGTGGAGAGGAGCAGCAGAAGGAAGCACTGACCGTCCCTGCAGACGCACCGACACTGTCTGTGCCAGCACTAGCACCAGTACTGTCATTGGCTGCTCCAGGCGTGTTTCCAGTACTGCCAGCCGCTGCCGGCAGCACTCCGCGTCTCTCTCGTCGCTCCAGCCTCCCCCCCCGAGCACCTGTACCTGGCAGCTGTGTGGCTTCCGGGGGCACTGCAGAGGCACCACCAGCAGCAGCAGCAAGCGCACCGGCAGCAGCAGCAAGTGGCAGCAAGGGTGCTGCAGAAGGGACACCAACGCCAACAGCAGCGGCAGCAGCAGCTGCAGAAACAGCAGCAGGAGCAATGGGCATTAACAGTGAAACAGGGGGCGCAACAGCAGCAGCAGGTGAAGAAGGTTCTTTAGCTGCATGCTCCACTGCAACTGCCTCTGGAGCTGCTTTGCACGAGCTGACCACGGGCGCAGAAGCTGCTGCTGTGCCGCCCTCCACTGCACCCGCTGCTGATGCTGCTTCCCCTGCTACAGCTGCACCTGGAATTGAAGCACCGCCAGCAGCCGCCGCTGTTTCACCTCATGCTGCTACTGCTGGTGCTGGCGCTGCCGACGCTGATGCTGGTGCAGCAGCAATAACAGCTTCAGAGAAGGCAGCAGCACCAGTGCGATCATTCAGCTGCAACACAGCAGGCAGCAGCAATAGGTCTCTTGCAGGCACGCCTATCAGCAACCTCGCTGCAAGCACCACGGCATCGCCCCTCTCCTCGCCTTCCTTCCTCTCCCTGGCTGGCCCTTCCGGTGCTGTGCCACCTCTGGCTTCCATTGGCAAGCTGGTGAGTGCGGCCTGCTGATGCATGCATCCATGTACATTGGCGTGCATGCATCTAAGTCCCCCCCAACCCCCCGCTCTCCTCCCTTCCCCCACCGTTCTTCATTCTCACCCCTCCTCTCCCCTTGAACCACACACTACACTTCAGCCTTGCTGGGTAGAGCGCACATGCCATTGCCCCCCGGCATCGGCGGGCGCATCATAGCGGTGTATGAGGATGAACCCACGTCACTCATCTAGAGTTGAGCATGTGGCCCGGACGGGTCGGGCCGACCCGCCCCGACCCGTGGTTTTTCACGGGTCGGGCCAGGGTTTCCAAAACCCTGCCCCGGTCGGGCCGACCCGACCCGACTCGGCGTGAGGCCCGACCCGACAGCGCAATTCGGGCCGGGCCGAGCCGGGCCTCGGGTCGGGTGTGGCCCGACCCGATTTCGGGCCAAAATTGTCGAAATCGGGTCGGGCCAGATGCGCGACCCGATTTCGACAATGTGTGGGGTCGAAACCCTAACACAATGTAAATCGCGGGGATTTCATCCCCGTCGATTTACTTTCCGCCAAGCCAGCAGCAAGCAGACTTAGAGTAGTACTTACCAGTCCTTAACCTACCACGCAACTTAGGTATTCCCACGCGCGTCCTACTATTTTAAGTTATCCTCTCGACGAACGTTTCTGGCTAGAAATAGGCCATTTCGCGCTCTTCACTAGAGTAGTTTTGGGACCACCATAATACAACCGCCACCTCTACGTTTATTCCTCCCCGCCTGCGCTCCGTGACACACGCGCTGTACTAGCAGTTTCTAGCGGATAACTGTTGTATTGTACATGTCATTACAACTGTTGCACCGCTTACGAAACCCACACAACTTTAAGTGGTAGGGAAACATGCTTTTTTAAAAATAGAGTAACAACCTGGAAAACAGAATAAATGTACAAGTCATGGGGAACCCCCCCACCCTGCCACTAAAGGGGCGGGCCTTCCTGGCCCGACCCGGCCCGACCCGAACTCGGGTCCCCCGTGGCCCGAGTCTGTAAGCCCGGGTCGGGCCACCAGTTTCAGGACTCTGGCCCGGGGTCGGCCCGACCCGACCCGACCCGAGGGCCCGTAAGGCCCGGCCAAATCGGGTCGGGTCGGGTCGGGTCGGGCCTTATGCTCAACTCTACACTCATCACTCTCCCCCCTTTTTCCTCCCTCCCCCCTCCTCCCTCCCTTTCCCCCCACCCCCCCACTTCCTTGACTCATGCAGTACACTTCAGCCTTGCTAGGCAGAGCACACGTGCTCCTGCCCCCGGCATCGGCGGGCGCATCATAGCGGTGTATGAGGATGAGCGCACGTCACTCATTGCCTATGCCATCTCCTCCTCCCTCCCAACCCCCTGTCCCTCACCTCCTTCCCCTTGACTCATGCAGTACACTCCGGCCTTGCTGGGTAGAGCACACGTCCTATTGCCCCCCGGCATCTTAGGGCGCATCATAGCAGTGTATGAGGACGAGCCCACATCGCTCATCGCTTATGCCATCTCGTCCAATGAATATTACCGTGCCGTTCACGGCGCCACTGCTGTCGTCGGTGCCACTGCCCATGCTCAAACTGCCACTGCTTCTGACGGTGCTGCTGCCGCACATGCATCTGCTGCTGGGGTTGGAACCGGGGGTGCGGGTGCTGGTGCTAGTGCCCGTGCAGGTGCGGTTGTGGGTCAAATAGGGAGTGTGTTTGGGCCTGGAGTGTCAGCCAGGGGGGTTGGTGGGAGTGGGAGGGTGGTGGAATCGGAGGTGGTGGGGGCGAAGGCAGTGGGTGAGCTGGTTAGGCAAGCCTCTTCAGCAGCTGCCGCTGCGGCAGCGGCAGCGGCGGCGGTGGCAGCAGGTAAAGTGGATGGTAAAGCAGGAGGAGGAGCACCATCAGCAGGAGCAGCAGAGTCAAGGCGTGCAGAGGCAGCAGCAGGCTCAGCAGCAGATGCAGCAGCAGATGCATCAGCAGATGCATGCGGGAGCGTTGCTGGCCCTCCACCTGATTCTACTGCTGAAAATACCTGCCGCACTGATGCCTCTCCTGCTGCTGTTGCTGCTGCTAGGGCACCAGAACCCACTGCACGCTGCATCGAGGCGGGAGAAGCTGCAGATGCACAGCAGTCCGCAGCTACAGGGGCAGCAGCAGGGGAGCGAGTAGCCGGAGAGGGAAGAGGACTAGATGGGGCGAGGAGAGGAGAGGGAAATGGAGCAGAGCTGGCGAGCTCAGGCTGCTGCTGCAGCAGCAGCAGCAGCAGCAGCAGCAGCAGCAGCAGGAGATTCATGTGGGGTGGCTGGAGCAGGCGCAGCCAGTGGGGCTGTGGAGGAGGCTAGAAGCCTTGGCAGCGGAGACAGTGGGGGAAGTGAGGATGGGGGATGTGGTAGTGGGAGTACTAGCGATAGGACAGCAGCAGCGCCCTGTGGTCATCTGACGCACGACAGAGGGCAGGGCCATGAGTTGCATGCTACTTCAGCAAAGACTGCTGCAAGAATGGGTGCATTGCTTGATGGAAGTGTTGGTGGTGCAGAGGGGATGGGAGCGTGTAGGGGAGAGAGCGCGGATGGTGTTAAGGTTGGGGATGGCACGGATCGGGTTGGTGGTAGTGGGGTTGGGTTGGCGAGCAGAGGTGTGGAGCCAGGTAGAGGAGAAAGTGAGGGTGTGGAGAGCGGTGGATCTAGGGCCGAGCTGGGAACGCCAGCAGGAGCGGAGGGGGGTGGTGCTGGTCCTGGTGCTGGTGTTGCTGGTGACGGTGCTGCTGCTGAGGGCAGTGGCGCTAGTGGTGGAAGCAGATGTGTTGATTCGAGAGAGGAGGAGGGAGTTTGCAAGGCAAAGGAGGAGGGAGTTGGCAAGCCAGACGCTGGGCCTGGGCTGTCACAGCAAGACCATCAGCTTGCAGCATCCTTCATACAGCACGAACCGTTACAGGCACAGCCGGGGACAGCGCAAGAAGTGCAACAAGAATCGTCACAATCAGAGTCAGAACCATCACAATCACAACAAGAACCGTCACCATCACAAGCACAGCCCGAAGCGCAGCTATCTAGCAGAGAGACAGAGGCAGTTCCAGTGCCATGCCAGGACGAGCCGGTACCGGTGCCACCCAGAGAAGAACCAGCGCCAGTGCCATCACAGGAGGACCCGCTGCTGTCCCGGGAGAAACGACACGTGAAGGTAGCGTTCACAGTGGGGGGTGGCGACGACACCCTGCCCTTCCCCGCACTGCCCTTCCTCCCCGGCCCCACCACCAACCCCACCGGCACCACCGGCAGCAGCGCCAGCAGCGGGATTAGTGGCGGCATTAGTGGCAGTGGCATGAACAGCGGCGGTATGGGCAGCGGTGCGTCAACGCCCGTGGGTGCTGGCAGCAGTAGTATTCGTCGCCGTGGGATCGCCAGTGGCGTTGGTGGGGGGAGCAGCGGCTCTGCAGCGTCGTTCCAGGTGACTGCTTACTTCGCCAAGCAGTTTGACGCTCTCCGCCGCAAGTGCTGCTCGCCCTTCCCCCCTGCCCCTGCTGCCGCCTCATCCGGTCAGCAGAAGACTGCAGCTGATACAGGAGAAGGGACAGCAGCGGGAACAGCAGGGGCAGCAGGGTCGGCAGGGGCAGCGGGGGCGGCAGGGGCAGGGGCGGCAGGGGCGGCAGGGGAGGGGGTGGTGGATGGGAGTGGTGATTTGGAGTTTGTGCGGTCGCTGTGCCGCTGCAAGCGCTGGAGTGCCGAGGGCGGCAAGAGCTCCGTGTATTTCGCCAAGACTGCGGACGACCGCTTCGTCATCAAACAGGTGGGGCGGAGTTTGATGTTTATTTAGAACTCGTTATACTACTACAATAATCAAGAACCAATTGATCCTCCGTGTCTTTGCCAAGACTTAGATCTCCTGCTGCGCAGGTGCAACGCAAGGAGATACTGGCTTTTCTGGACTTTGAAAACGACTACTTCAAGCACCTCTTTGACGCCATGGAGGCCTCTTCTCCTTCTTTGCCCCTCTTACAGGCGTGCCCTTGGTTTCACTATCTGACCAACATCCCCGCTTCCCCATCCTCCTCCCCCCGTTCTGCACAGGTGCAACGCAAGGAGATCCTGGCGTTTCTGGACTTCGCCAATGACTACTTCAAGCACCTCCCTGACCCTATTGAGTCGTGTCCTCTCATCTTTGCTCCTTGTGGTAGTCACGACTGAACCTTGTGTTTCCCCATCCCCATCACCCCCGTGCTGCACAGGTGCAACGCAAGGAGATCCTGGCCTTCCTGGACTTTGCCAACGACTACTTCAAGCACCTCTTTGACGCCATCTCACCTTGTTCTCCTTTGCTCGGTCTCACAGTCACAACACAACCTCTCCCTCCTCCCCCCTGCTACTCAGGTCCAACGCAAGGAGATCCTGGCCTTCCTGGACTTTGCCAACGACTACTTCAAGCACCTCTTTGACGCCATCGAGTCTGGCAACCCCTCCTGCCTCGCCAAGATCCTCGGCCTCTACCAGGTGCGTCCAAGAGGGGGGGGAATGTGTGCAGTGCGGATGGAAGCTGGTGTTTTGTGGTGAAGGGTTTGGAAGATGACATGTTCGTTAAGTAGATAACCACCGATTGGAGGTGCATCGGATTGGAGTGTGAGCGAGGTGACTTTTGAGTCGACTCAAAAGTCACCTCTGTTTATTCTTTGGACCTTGAAACTGCTTCATTGTTTCTCTCTGCTCTCTGCTCTCTGCTCTCTGCTCTCTGCTCCCTCCGCTCTGTGACCTTGCTTCTCGTGCACGTGTGGTGCAGGTGACAGCAAAGGGCGTGACTATGGACGTGATGCTCATAGAGGAGAACCTGCTCTCATCTCTCCTTTCTCTTCTCCCTGCTCTCTGCTCTCTGCTCTCTGCTCTCTGCGTCTTCTTTCCCGTGTGTGTGTGAGTCACAGGTGACAGCAAAGGGCGTGACTATGGACGTGATGGTCATGGAGAACCTGCTCTACGGCCGTCGGATCACCAAGCTCTACGATCTCAAGGGCTCCCGTCGCTCCAGATACAACGCAGACCGCTCCAAGAGCAGGGTACGAATGGGGCTGGCTGTGCGGGTGGGATGGTGGGACCTGACTTTTGAGACGTCTCAAAATCTCAAAAGTCACTCCAGATACAACGCAGACCGACCCAAGAGCAGGGTGCGTGCACAAGCGGCTGGGTGGGGTACGGTGGGGTAGGGTGGGGGGACCTGTACATACACTTGTGGTGCAGCTTCCCTGTACATGCATTTGTGATAAATCATTCTCACATTAGGTCCCCTTTTCCCCCGTCCCATTCTCTTCCCTCCTCTCCTCTCCTCACCTCAGGTACTGCTGGACGAATACCTACTAGAGGCCATGCCCACATCGCCCATCTTCGTGGGGAAGCGATCCAAGCAGCTGCTGGAGCGAGTTGAGTCGACTCAAAACTTCCCCCTATCCACCGTTCCCTCCCTCTCTCCTCACCCAGGTATTGCTGGACGAGAATCTACCAGAGGCCATGCCCACGTCGCCCATCTTCCATTCTCCTCTCCACCTTCTCTCCCTTCCCATGCTCCTCCTCTCACCACCCCCATCCTCCCAGGCACTTCTAGACGAGAACCTACTAGGGGCCATGCCCACATCGCCCATCTTCCCTTCTCCTCTCCTCCATCTCTCCCCCACCCCCCTCTTTCCCCCTACATCGCCTCAGGTATTGTTGGATGAGAACCTACTAGAGGCCATGCCCACGTCGCCCATCTTCGTAGGGAAGCGGTCCAAGCAGCTGCTGGAGCGCGCTGTGTGGAATGACACTGCCTTCCTCGCGGTGAGATGAGAGGGGTTGAGAGCGGTTGACAGAGGTTGAGAATCAGGTGGGTTGGGTAGATGTTGACCTCCTAGCAGCTGCTGGAGCGGGCTGTGTGGAAAGACGGCCTTCCTCGCGGTGAGACAAGATGAGAGTGGTTGAGAGCGGTTGAGGGCGGTTGAGAGCAGTTGAGAGCAGTTGTATGTAAGATGGGTAAGCATTCACCTCCACGCAGCTTCTGGAGTGGGACGTGTGGGAAACACGTTGTTCCCCACGGTGGTACGAAAGTGGTTGAGAATCGTTGAGAGCGGTTGAGAATCAGGTACGAATGTAATGATCCACTCACCACCCTTCCCCACATGTTCTATTCCCTTCCCTGCCCGCAGAAGCACGCAATAATGGACTATTCTCTCTTAGTGGGGGTGGAAGAGGAGCGATCAACACTGGTGGTGGGGATAATCGATTTCATCCGCCCCTACACATGGGACAAGCAACTGGAAACGTGGGTCAAGGCCTCAGGGCTGCTAGGGGGAGGCGGGGCAGGCAAAGACTCTACTCCTACGGTGATATCTCCTTCTAATTACAAGAAGCGGTTTAGAAAGGCCATGCAGACGTACTTTGTGATGGTGCCCGATCAGTGGGTGCCAAGAGTGCCGGAGATTGCCACCACGGCTGCTGGTGTGGTCGTGCCTGCTGTGCTGCCGGCGAGGCTGGTGCAGCAAGGGGAAGTGGAGCAACAGCAGAAGCAGGAGCAGCAGCAGCAGCAGCAGCGGCCGCAACCGCAACAGCAGCCGCAGCAATGATGATTATTGCTAGCACGGTGGCTGGTCTTTTCATGTGTTCTGTGGTGCTGGTTGTGCCGGATCAGTGGGTGCCGCGGGTGCCAGAGATTGCCACCACGGCTGCTGGTGTGGTCGTGCCTGCTGTGCTGCCGGCGAGGCTGGTGCAGCAAGGGGAAGTGGAGCAACAGCAGAAGCAGGAGCAGCAGCAGCAGCAGCAGCGGCCGCAACCGCAACAGCAGCCGCAGCAATGATGATTATTGCTAGCACGGTGGCTGGTCTTTTCATGTGTTCTGTGGTGCTGGTTGTGCCGGATCAGTGGGTGCCGCGGGTGCCAGAGATTGCCACCACGGCTGCTGGTGTGGTCGTGCCTGCTGTGCTGCCAGCGAGGCTGGTGCATCAGCAGCAAGGGACAGAGTTGGAGCAGCAGCAGCAGAAGCAGAACGAACACAAGCAGCAGCAGCAGCAGCAGCAGCAGCAGCAGCAGCAGCAGCAGCAGCAGCAGCAGCAGCAGCAGCAGCAGCAGCAGCAGCAGCAGCAGCAGCAGCAGCCGCAACCGCAACAGGAGCCGCAGCAGCAATGATGATTATTTCTAGCACGGTGGCTGGTCGTTTCATGTGTGCTGTGTGCTGGTGGTTGACAATTAAGTACAGCCAGAGCAGCAGAAGGAAGAGGAAGAGGAGGAGGAGAGGAACGTCAAGAGGCTTGGCATCAGTACTTCCCTCACAAGATGGGCAGAAGGGGCGGAGGTTATTGCCCCGAAACCCTGGATGGTTGTTAAATATGCTGTATATAAATGTTAAGGTGCCGATTACAGTAGGCCTTTATTCATCATACCGTACATTTTGCTGTTGATGCTGAGCAGCAACTCAACATCAGCTGAGATGGAAAGGGCAGGCTTGAGATGCACTTGCCATTCTCACCACCACTGGTAGTGGGCAGGGCAGTGCAGCCGTTTGTAACACCAACAGTACCTACTGAAGGACAGTACGGTTAGTAATTGGCAATGATCAAGATTCAAAAGCAGGGAGAGAGGGGAGGGGTGCTAGACAAGAGTAAGTTGAAGCCAGAGAAGGTATGCTAGGAGACGCTTCAAAGAATAAAACAATTACCGTACAAGCCTTGAGGCGGCTCAAAGAATGGTGTGTCAAACAGCTTGGCACCGGTCGCAAATCATATCCTGCACTCTCTCCAGCAGCAGTTCATATGTCTTGTCACATCTATCTTTGCCTCAGGAAGTCACGCTGCTTGGCACCGGTCCTCTCGAATCATATCCTGCACCCTCTCCAGCAGCACCTCATACGTCTGAGTCACCTCTATCTTGGCCCCAGACAATCTATGATATATCCTCTCATACGACCGCCCCGGTCCCTCCCACCCCTTGCGATAAAATATGATATTCTTCCCACCCCAGTAGCTTGACAACACAGAGGTTCCTCCTTGCACGCTGATAAAGCAGGAGCTTCGGGCCATCATTCTAAACTGAACCTCGTTGAAACTTAGGCCCGGCCAAGCCTCGTGAATCTGCTGCATGGTTCGGAACCGAGCCTCCGAGCCGAACTCCTCAGCCAGCCTCGTGTGGTCCCCCAAGTCGAACCTGTCTCCTTGCTCCGGGTCTGCCTTGATCGAATGCCCAGGCCTGTTATACACCACGTAATACCCTTATTGAGAAACTCGCGAATGACTATAAGGAGGCTCGGGATGTCGATAAAATTGGTAGGCGGTTCTGCCCATTCAATCTCATACTTGTTGCTTATAATCACAAGCGAAGCGCCCCCTACAGGAACATCCATCCATACTCGTCCCAGCTCCCGTATCCGGTGCATAATCGGTGGGGGATGCCAGTACTGCGGAATGTCACTGTAATGAAGGCCTTTGGTGAAACCGTATCGCTTAATCACGTGATTGTAATCGTTGGAGCGCTTACAATCTGGGTCTGTGGAGTGGTTTGAGCTGAAGTAGTAGAGGAGAGAGAGGGGGGCGCCACATGTCTTAGTGGATCTGAGAGTTCCGTTGAGGAAGTGCCAGTAGGCGTGGGGAATGACTCCAATCAGCTCGTATCCAAACTCGCCCTTAAAGGAGATGTCTATAGCGGGGATGGAGGTGTTAGGAGGTTGGGTGGGTGATGGGTTGATGGAGGAATTGCAGCTGCAGACCCATGCGGGGGGGGTGTTGCCTGGGGAAGGGGATGGAAGGGCGCAGGGGGGGCGGAAGGAGAAAGGTAGATGCATTGCTCAAGTGAACGTTGTTGCAGAAGCAGACCCATGCAGGGGGTGTGTCGTCTGGGGAAGGGGGTGGAGGGTTGCAGGGAGGGGAGAGAATGAGGGGCAGAACGGACGGGGGAGGGTGTGAGAAAGGGATGGATGGATGGATGGATGGATGGATGGATGGATGGATGGATGAAGGATGGCTGAGAGTACCAGAGGGAAGACTTAAGATAAGGGTACAAAGGGAGCTGGTAAAGATATGGTGACAGCGCATTCCAATAGAATTCGTCGCTCACTTGATCCACAATTTGATAAGTTGCTCCCGGAGGTAGGCACGGTGACAGGCTCCTTAGCAGGCTCGGTGGTAGGCCCGGTGGCAGGCTGAGTGTCAGAGCTGACGTCAGGCTTGGAATCCGAAGCTCCGTCTACTTTGCATTCGGCTCGGGAACAGTGGTCGGCGTTGATTCTTCTGATGAGCCAGAATCGTGCGGTGGAGGAGATGCCTTGTCATCTGCATGGGACAAATGCCAGTCGGTTGTTGAAATGTCCCAAAAACCAACTCATATGCATAAGACAAAGTCATGGGCGGCGGGAACAGAGGGAAAGGTTGAGAGAAATTACGTGAAAAAGGGAGAGAAAGAGGGGGTGATGAGAGGAGGCGGAGAAACGACGGAGACAGTGGGGGGGGAGAGGAGAGAGGGGAGAGAGGGGAGGGGGGATGTTAGTTGGGGAAGGGGGGATGGGAGAGGGGAGACGGGGAGAAGAGGGGATGGGAGAGGGGAGAGGGGAGAGGGGAGAGGGGAGAGGGGAGAGGGAGAGGGGAGAGGGAGAGGGGAGAGAGGGAGAGGGGAGAGGGAGAGGGGAGAGGGGAGAGAGAAAAGGGAAGAGAAGAAGAGCCTGAATCACGTGCGCACCAGACGCTGCAGCAATGCGGGTTGCGAGGTGAGGGCGAGGAGGAGAAAAGGAGGACGCGCCACGAGCGACGAGCGATGATTGGAGACGAGCGACGAGCGACGATGTCCAATGGTTGACGAACGAGCTGAAAGGGGAGAGCCCGCGCGGCGGTAGCAGCAATCAGGCCGCACGAGGCGTTGCAACCCTCGCCGCACATTGGCGAGGGTCCGTATATATGATTAGGCGAGGCGTTGCGGTTTTCGAGAATCCTCAAAATTCGCTCATTAAAACCAGATGTAATTAGAGGAGTTTTTCCCAGAAGTGTTCTGTGTCGTTTTAAAACGTTTTACGAATCCTTGCCGCACATTGGCCGTCAGTCCCAAGGTAATCCGTTCCAGAAGTGTTCTGACACGTCACTATCCTCGGGTTCTGAGTCGACTCTATATGACACGCCGCTAGCCTCGGAAAGCGCTACTTTGCGGAGCGGTGATGCATGCTACGCGTATAGTGGACGTACCGGTATTCTCAGTCCCCGTCCCCGTCCCAGCCCCCATCCCCGTCCCAGCCCCCGTCCCCGTCCCAATCCCCGTCCCCGTCCCCGTCCCCGCCCCTGTTCGTAGCACGGTTCCGGCGTCTCACACAGACACAAGGGAGCTGAGCTTTTAACGATGCCCGCAAGGCTCTCCTCTGATGCGCCTCAAAGGTCCTGCTTCTAATTTAGAGAGTCTTGAAACTAAAACTCGTTGCTCTCGAAGCTACCACTGAGGCGCTTGGTAAGGGGCGCTGCTGTTCTATCCCACACGCATCACTATTCACACCAGTTCAGGTAGGACGATGAGCTATGACGTTGAAAAGGAATGGAAGGCAGGCGTGGGAAACGTGGGGAAATGGTGGCCTGGTGAGGGACGTGCAGCGGTGCGGACTTGAAATATGAGTTAGATGGAAATCGGAACGGTGAGGAGGAACGAAGTCCGGTTTTATATGGTCAAGTGCGTGTCCCGAAGAATGGGTGAGGTTGGTCTCGCGGCGCGTTCGTGCGCACCGTGGGGAGCTTGTTTCGCAGAAACACCGTGTAACAGTGGTACACGTTGAACGTAAAACGCTGTGACCTTATATGTATTGTAGAATATAGTTTTACATC